TCTCCAATAGACCAATAAATTAATTTCCACTTTCTGGGATTTATTTCAAAATATGATATCGTTAACGAGTTACTGGAATTCTAGAGTAGTTGTTATAGCCTGTATCTATTAGTAATTCGAAGAATTTTTTTATAAAATGTTCATAGGTACACAAACTTGGAACTTCATCTTTGCATTTTTTTTTTAAGAAAAATATGTTCTCTACACTTCTTCTTTATTCTATTAATTGTCAATTGTTAACCAAGAACAAATAGAAAGTCGCTATTCAGATTTTACCTGTGTCTATCAAAGCCCTAAACAGTATTTTATGTGATAGGATTTTCAAGCGGGTATCTCTCATCTCATTGCTCTTGTTTCTTGTTGAAGGTCATCAGTTCAAGGTGGAGCAACTCTATTTATCATCGTCGCGACGACAGATATGTCTGGTCCACGCCCATCTTAGCTTTGTCACGCCACTCTGTGTCCAACGACTGTTACTAGTGATTATAAGTCTGGATAATTAGAATACCCGCCTTCTTTGATGGAATGAAATATTATTAAAAAAAAAAAATTGGAAACGTTTTTCCAAGTCGTTAAAAAACATTGGACGACATATTTCTATCATCGTAGAAAATATAAGATAGCGTATTGCCTTTCTTGTGATTTTTTTTAATGTAGCATAAATTTTTTCATGAAAACAATATTTATAAAAAAATATTAAACCGACTTAAAAAACGTGAATAATAATAAAAATCGATTATATTTATTTCTACTAAATATTGCACACTAGACACCAAACTCTTACTACTATACTAATATAAAGAAGATATATCTGATTATTATTACATTGACAGGCTCCAAGAGTAAAGCTGCATCATACGCGGATGACATAAACTATAATTTTCGCGGGCATAATCGCTGTAAAACTAATGCTTAGTTATTTTTTTTTTTATTAAAAATATAAAACCAACTTTAAAAGTCAGAAATTATACTTATATTAATAACATAATACTTATCTTATTAAAAAAACTGCCATTGAAGTCGGGCGGCTATCGTTTGATTAATAACCAACAGAAAACCTCCGCCCGAGTTCAGTAGCAATTATTTACATTAATAAAGTAATATCAACAAATTTTGATTTGTTTACAGAATGCCTCATTAAACATGGCACGATCTCGAATGTAAAGAGACGCAGTTCTAAAACGTTCCTCGAGCAAGTGACAGACCATTGTTGCTGCGCTGGTGTTCTTTATCGACAATTTTCTTTTATGACCAGAAAAAGATTTGTCGAAGCCCTCGACAGAATGCTGCATGAAAAAAAAGATTTTATTAAAAGATATAAATAAATTAGATACTTTTTAATACCCTCATTTTAAAGGTATACCATCACAATAATTTAGTAAAATATCAATTTGAAAATGCGCTTACGAGTGCACAACATGAGTTCTACAAGCGGTACGATAAACGTTTGTGCGACAAAACTGTAACGCAAATCACTGCGATTCGAATACCCGGTAGTGCTACGATTCTTTTATGCGACATCAAAGTTAATATATATATATATACATAGATATATACTAGCTTTCCGCCAGGATTAATTTGGGACTATTTATTTGGATATCAATTCATATTATGATACAGTTAAAATACAATGACAAATTGAATAGTTAACAATGGTTACTATGGTAACGTTTAAATTCCCTATACAAACTTTCAGTCCCGTTTGCAGTTTTTCAGGGTATAATACAGCTTATGTTCGCAGCATATGATATAGTTTCCCGTAGTTGAAAGAATTTTCAAAATTGTTCCAGTAGTTCCAGAGACTATTCGATGTAAACAAACAAACAGTAAAATCTTTCCTCTTTACGATATTAGTATAGATTAGTAGGATTTTTGATAATAAGATAGGTATCATGAAAAAAGATTAAAACATAATTAAGTTATTCTACTTTATTCCTTTCGACTTCTTATTCATTTGATAGTTATCCCTTATGAAAAAATATTTTCTTAAAAAAGATAAAAGCTAAAAACCTTAAAAAAATAAGTCAGTACACAAAATGAACTTTTCAATGCTGTCTCGGGTCTGGGTGTTGTGGTATCTCCATTGTTTCAGACTACCATATTACAAGTGCTAAATTTAGGATCTAAGCAATGTATGTGATGTAATCTAACATTTATTTATTTATCTCAGTATCTCAAAGTATATAATACCCCATGGAAAATAAATTTGGATATTATTGAATCTAAGAGACATATTATTGTAAGAAAAATAACATATTTTTACGTGAAAATTCTATTTTGATTTAAGCCTATTTGACTTATAGCTTTCTTGTTATTATACGTAATAACAAGAAAGAGATTTTGAAGAGATTGTGAAATCCACCTACGCTTGAAAAATAATGATTTTGTAACTTATTTTTATTACCAAACGTAAAATAAACTATCGCGAGAAAAATAAACACTTGAGTATTTTAAAAAAGGTTTTAATGAAACCTTGCAGCTCATATAAATAATAATAGGTTTGAAAAACAATGAAATGGAGATAAGGATATAGGTACATCAATTCGGAAAAAAATGTCTGTCCTGTTAATCTAGGTATGTACTTAGACTCATAAATCAAAAAGCAAGTCTTAGTAACGTTACAGAAATATTAAAATCTAACTTTTCATCAGTGGCTTCGCCCACTTGTGTTCTGTGAACTGATTAGCGGGATATCAATATTATGACACGGATGTAATTGCAGTGACAAATTGAATAGTAAACATTGGTTACTGTGGCATAGTTTTATTCCCTATACAAACTTTCACTCCCATTTACAAAGCTTTATTTGCTGTTTTTCAGTATAAAATAAAGTCTATATATATGATATAGGTATAAATAATTTTTAATATCAGTCTAGTAGTTTTGGAGCCCATTCGATGCAAGCAAACAAACAAATATACTAATAATCAAATCTTTCCTGATTAGAATATTGGTATAGAAGTATAAAGAAATATGTAAGAAATTAAGAGCCAATTTTATACAATTATCACGATTTCTCAAATTCAGCTTGTTAGTAGAATTTATTTTTAATTACAATCTGAAATGTTAAACTAGTAAAAGAACTCTTTTAAAAAATATGACATAAAAACTCAAACCTCATTACATGAGTTTAAAATGAATTAAGAATTTAAAAAAAAATGTAGTTTATCGAACTTTATTTTTGTAATGTCAATATCTTTTTAATTTTAGCGATATGAATTTAACATTACTGTTAGCCTGTCTGCTAACTTGTTTAAACCGCTTCCTAAAAACGGCGCTTGCTGATACACTTTCCAATGGACTTGATGACCCAAAAGAAAAAGTAATATCAGAAAGTCTGCATCCATTACAACGCCCACACGATGAAATGCCTGGAGGTAATGAGCCAGTATTGAACATAGGCATTTATTTATTTATTATTCGGAACAACGAGCAGATATACTCAAAAAATATGTAAATAATCATTTACTAAAATTCTGAGTTACAGTACATTACATAGGTATATACAAGAATATTTAGCGAATATATAACCATGTTATTAGATTTTTTTTTATGTTATAATAATATAACTACAATACTAAATGACACGGGATATAATGACATGGAGAGAAGAGGGCTTACTACGTTGTCCCACAGAACAAAAAACTTTTTTTAAAATAGAACCGTCTTCAAAATTTAAGTGATAAATAATACTTATCTCAAAACCGCCTTATTGGAGAAAATGCTGTTGAAGTCGGGTATAGAGGGAGCGGAAAATTTAGCAACATTGTCGAATTTTATCAATCTCATAATTAATATTAAACTAAAGATGTTTTGTATTATTGTTAAAGAGAGTGATTGCCAAGGATACCCTCCTGTTGTCGTCCAACCAGCAATAATTAAAGTATTTAGATACCCGAGGATCGACAACAAGGCCAACGAGGAGAGCAGCAATATGCACCCTTCGCTGACAGATACGACACCAGATTACTATGTTCCACCACACTGGCACGCGCCAGATGCCCAACTGCCATTCTGGCACCCACCCCGATACCACGAGCACCGACCACCTAGTAGGCGAACGGGTATGCAACCGCTAAGCGATCGTCTGACAAGCAGAATACCGCCAAACGCCCATCAGCCTTTCCACCAGTCGGAATCTCAACCTAATGAAACCTGGCGACAATATTCTCCACCATCGTATATTGATAGATTAAACAATAACAATGGTGCTACTGATGACACTAAAAGTCCAAATTTTTTCATGCAACTCTTGCGCCGGCCTTCATTGAGGGGTTAATTCTATTTTGCTGTAGATATATATTGTAAAAATACATAACATCTGAAATCATATTTTATTAGACGCAAATTGTTCATTTATATATTGATTAATATGAGATCCAGAGCCTCACAAGGATTAGCAGATACCCATTTTTGATAATATTAAAGAATAGAAATTAAATAAATGATTTCATTTTATCTTAATTCCTTGACTAGGCTAACACAGGTCACAGCGCTATTATACGCTGCGTTCGTCGTCGATTTTAATTGTGTTTTTATAAATTAGCATAATAACACAGATTTTTCACTACATTTTATATTCTCTAACTAGCATAATAATTATCCTACAATATAAACTATTTCAAATGAGTATTATACGAGGTGTTGAAACCAAACCTCTATCAGTCACTGAGCGAAAAGCTACGCAATCAAAACTAAAAATAAAGCTTAGAACACACAGTATTTAAAATCACACATAAAGAAATAGCTAAAAATGCAAAACCAATTACAGTATATAACGTAAGCCCGCATTTTAAGTTGGCTTACAAATGTGTGCATTCATTCTCAGTGCAATCTAAGCCTAAAATATGTAAGATTTACATAACGACGCAGGTGGCTTCTAATAATCGTGAGCTGTTTGGCACTCTGACACAAAATACGAAATGAAAATGATGTACAATAAGTGTTACTGAACGCAAGATGAAAGCACACATCACGTTTAACTAAGGCGTATAAGAAAAATGACGGTGAGTTCTTTTTCTAATTAACTAATCATTTAAAAAATATAAGTAAAAAATATGCGATGACTGATTCCAACTCATTTGGCACGCATTTTTAAAAAGGAATTATAAATTTAAAGTTCCGTTGCGTGCTATAAAACTTTTTAAATGCAACGAATAATTTGAAACAATAGAACAGAAAAACTGGGACTTCAGAAATGGGTGACAAACGGGTGGACACGCTAGGTGAAAAGTTAGAATTGATAAACCTACTTGGTTTTCATTGAGAACATCCTGGCAGTGTAACACATACACACTGCCAATCATATATTTAAATTTTTAAATGGTTCACTCCATTTAAAAATATATGTCGGATATTTCCCCAACTTGTAAACACTGCAAATATAAATGAACAAGAAGCCACCGGTAGATTTTTAAATAAAAAACACTAATAATGATATTACTTGAATAAATAGGAACTAAATCTACCAAGGAAAAAAGGCATTACAAAAATTAAAGATTTTGAGCTCAACGTTGCAATTAATTTATATGTTAAATTATTGTTAGATAAAAATCTTCTAAATCATCGTTATTGCCAGTAAGAAATCTTAATGTTTTTACATCATGAATACAATATTTGTCTTGATACACTGACAAACAACGCATAGCCTAAACTGCTGATATACTCGTATAATATGGTCAGCTATTTTGAGAAAAAACTTATTTTAGTTTTATTTAGTACAAACATATTCTCTTTTATGATGCATATTGGAAAATGTTTTTTATCTATGTATCTATTCGTGTCCCTACTCTCTATTGTTTCCCTTCTCTTACCATCAAATTCACACTAAACACCGCACCGTTACAAATATTTGCAAGCATAATTTTGTATTTGCGAAACGAGGAAATAGATCAGCATATTTGAGAATAGGCATTGTTTCGATTGCTGGTAAATCAGGACCATTGGTTTATTAATTAGAATAAAAGCAGAATAAACACACGCCTATTAATTAAAACAATAGTTCAATTAGATACCACAAGTATTTAGAAGTATATGTGAAGTACGATTTATTTAATTTTTTTTTTAATATAAATTACATTATAGTAGATGTTGATATAACAGGGATATAATATATTTTGAACAAGTTCGTGCTCCCGAGTAATAGTAGAAGAAACACGTAATAAATAAAACCTTTATAATAGTTATTATAAAAAAAATGTTTTACTAGCTGTTTAATATAACAACAGCGATTCGCTTCTGGCACTTCCGCCCATTGCCACTTCACGCTCGCTTTGATCGCTCGGCTCATGCGTTGTTTGTTATACTCTAACCTAACCTAACTTAATGAGGAAGTACTTAAAAAAAACAAAGCACCTCCACTAGATGGCGACTTTGGCGAATTTAGCTTGGTTTTGTAATATTTGTAGACCAGGAAAGATTTAAGCGATGAGAGAACGAAGTACTAATCGAATCTAGTATCGAAAAAAAAATATTATTTTAACGGTTCTACTAATAAGAAATGTATAACCTTTTCAAAATACACATAACTGAGTCATGTCATTCCAATACGATTTTTGGTTGGGGTAAAAAAGGCAAAACTACTCTATGACCTTATAATGCTTAAACCTTGCTTATTGATAAGGATGTTAGTGTTATACGGTTGTATATAATTATTTATGCATTTACGGTGAAGTATAGGACACCAAGGTAACATATCAATATATCTCTTGCAGTTTACACTACAGTTAATCTTTGCTGTGCTCCAAGGATTAGTCGGTCTCACAACGCAATCTATAACTGGTGTCACATACATGGATAATTTCGATTTTGAAGAACGGTATAGAAATGTGGACGAATGCAATCCCTTTTATTGGCATCCTCTACACATGCCAGAACATTGCACCAAAATGTTTGAAACACTTATAAGAGCTGGAGTAGGAGCATTTGGACCTACTAAGATCGTTAAAGACAAGAATTATGCAAATGACCAATATTATGAAAGCGATGAAGAAGATGGCACATTACCACCGTACGAAAAAATGGTCCAACTGCTCAAAAATGATATATCCAAAGAACCGATTGAACCAGAGATAACTTTTTTACCTGGTATTGGACCTGCAGCCCTGTACCACCAACCAGTATCAAAACAAAGCGCGGATTATATTAAAGCTGTAGCTAAAGCATACAGACATATTAGTTTTGCATTTGGTCCCTTATATAATCCGATAGAAGTGACTACTTGTGAAACTCGTACAGATAAAGATGAAAAAAATGGTATAGAGAAAATAATTAATAAACTAAAAGTTGGACGTGATGGATTAAGAAATAATAATAACCAAATGAAACCAAAATATAATATAAAAAAGAAAATAAATAAAAAAGGTTTACTGACAGTATTACGAACTAAACATTAATAGGAAAACATTAAGGCCCAGATCTAGAGGGAAAGCAAGTAAGGGCATTTGCTTCGGGTGCCAGTGTTGGGGGGGATGAGGGCAAAATCATTATTATACAATAAAACCTAGCTTTACAAAACTCTTCATACACATCAATTTACATTTGTATCGACATATGTATTATGTATAAAGTTATAAAATACTTACTAAGATAGAATTAAAAATTATTATTATTTTTGTTATTTTGTATCGACGTGTTATCATTTACTGTGTATTTTTTATTATGTTAAGGGTTCCGGACCTCAAATAGAAAAAGCAGTACCCTTGTGGGATCACTCAACCTTTCTGTGTCTGATTGTCTTTCCGTCTGTCTTTAACAAATGATTTGACTAAAATTGAGAATTTTCAACTGTCGAAGCTAATGAGTAGGCTGTAAACCTACTTCTGTTTTTTTTCTGTTTTTATAAAGAGTATATACATCCCTTTAAAAAAAGAACACCCATTGTTGCATCAAGAATGACTCATTGTTCATATCGTTCTCACATTTTTCACATTTGAACACCTGCTATCGCTATGAAATGACTGTTATCGCCTTCACAAAGCTTCTATCACTGAAAAACATTTACGTATAAGTAAATCATGAGTACATTTTTAGAGACGGTGAGTAATTTGAATATATTTTGTCTTTTTCAACTGAAATTATACGATCGAGTGTCTCCTTCCAAATTTGTGTTATGCCTCATTATTTATGGTGGTCGTTTGTACGACTGGCTACTGACTACGATATTCGTTTCTAAAATATTAAGGTTATCATACTTTGTTTAAAATTCATCAACCTTTTTCAGATATTTGTTGCAACAATATTTATAAAAGTAACAAAATGCTCTATAGCTGGACTCAGTTACATGGATCCGCTTAACTTCAGACCTCTACCTAAAAGTGAGGTAGATCCTTGCAATCCATTGTATTGGTACCCAAGGGCTATACCGGAATCTTGCTACTTGAGAACAACTCCAAGGACACAGATGGCTTTGCCTCCAGATGGAGTTGTGCCATTACCGATACCGGTTCCAGTACCGGGGAACATCCCATTGCCACCTCTCATTCCACCTATACCTTCAATAATACCAGCTATACCACCAATAGTAACCCCCGTTGCACCAATAGTACCACCAGTATTACAAATGATGCCACCCGTTCCATTTGGGTTGCCCCTTGCTCCTAGTCATCCAATGCTGCCTGTTCCCGGTATACCGTATCCACCGCCTTATCAATATCCACCCCGACAAGCTGGAATGGTTCCAGGAATCAGAGGCATTGTTTCAGAGGATGGAGGTATAAATATACTTCCGTTTTCGGACGCATATTCGCAGTTGTTAGAATCACATAAAAATAAAATTCTCCGTAAACGATTACGTAAACTATTTGATGATTATAATCGTTCCCCGAGATGGAGAAAAAAGAAATATCGTAATAGATCTAGCGGCTACTAAAGGTAAACCTTTTAGTGTATAATTAAATAAAGACCCTTTTCTAAATTTCTCTTTATTAAGGCTTTATAATGTAATTGATATTAATTATCATAAGTATAAATAACAATTAAGTACTTATATAGTATTAATATCATACCTAGTTATTACTAACATAATAAGAACTACATTTAATATACAGGTACTTGAAAAAAATGACATCATACGATCAAATTGTTGGAAGATATTCCTAGGTTCATTATCAATAGTGAGTTTTGAATAATTATTTACCTACTTTATATTTTTGTTTTTATAATTTAATAATTTCATATTTATTAAATTATATATTTTAATTGTAATAGTTTCAAAGAAATAAAACTTGTTTCGATAGGTAATGAAGGTTTATTTCATTGAAGTTTTTAAGCTGTGACAGCGCTATGCTTGACATCAAGTTCCAACCTGTTATTAACATAATACATTACCTGCTTCTGAAAACTAGCTAGATTTACAAAAATCTAAGTAAAGTTATAACAACAACACTCGATATTTGTATGCGAATTCCGAATTTGTGATATATTTTTTTTGTTCTCTACCTTAAATGCATTCAATTAAACTTTTCTAAATTTTGTAACCAACTTTAATAGGATAATATGATGTCATTTTCAATCAACCTAAGTTCTTTCCTATATTTATGTGGACGGATTTCCTGAGGGCTTCATAAGTCATTATATACAAATATCTTATCTAATAATCAAAATAAAACAATATTTTCTAATAATACAATAACCTACGCACACACTTGATATAATAGTGTATATATATATAGACAATTAAGTACAATTTTGCCACAAGACTTATCATTTATTTAAATAAAGTCCGACTTAACAATAAATAGCAGATTATTAAAATTGAATTGTATAACAACATGATTAATTTATTATTTTATTTTTAATGCCTACCTTATTTCCATAAAACTATTTTAAACTTTTTTCTTATAATAACAATACAGTACGTCTAAGTACGTTTTAAAACAAAATCTCTTTTAATATATCATTATGTCAATAGATGTCGCTAGTGATCTTTTATGATCTAATAGTTTTTATATGAATGAAGTTATCAATATTAATAACCAATGGACGTAGTTTAATTTAATTTTCTGCCCACCCCTCTGTATTGTTTTGAATTGAAAATAGTATAAAAAATGCAATTACCACTCTTTTATGTCGATAGATAAAGGTTGTTGGAATAAATAATTGCTTAAATAAAATACACCCTTATTTCTAAATATTACATTATACTTTAGCGACTTCTATTGGTATAAAGAAAAACTAAAATATTGACACTATCATATTTTAAAAGTCAAAACATTAATGTGATACTTTCCTAAATATCACTATAATATTATAATATCTGCGATATCACATAAAAAGTCAGATATTAAGATATAATAAAGCTTAATCTAGTCATTGTATACCTAGCCTACTGGAATGATTCGTATGGACGTCTTAAATTTTCCTTAATTACTAAATTAATCATTATTAATAATCCTAATAAAAATATAAAAACTGTTACGTGTTCAGATCTATTGACGTTGTTGACAACACTTTTCAATTGAAAATTGAATAGGAGATGGTTCCATGTTCGTCGGTGTAAAATTTTTATGTATGTTCAACGAGCTTCCCTTTGATTTTGTACCGTATAATGAAATGCAGACCTATGTTCAGAATTATTTCTTTTTTAATTGACCTTAGATGGTCCCATAATTTTTTCTTACGAATTCGAACCATCAACACCTCGTTAACTGAAACCCAGACAAAGAAAATAGATTTTAAATCACAAAAAATGTAGTATATTTTAATTAACAGAAAGTAGTACTCGAATCCCATTCCTGATGTCAATATATTGTATCGCAAGTAAATATTATTTTTCATTGTGATGTTTAAATTTAATGAGAGGGGCTTTCCGACGATGAAATATAAGTAGACAATATTAAGTATCTAAATTAATTGAAGCGGCGATATTCAGTTATAAGTACTTCCTACACATTTGAGCCATTTGGGGTCGAAACGATGGGTCCGTGGGGCCCCGGTGCCCATCGTATTTATCAAGAATCAAAAAGTAAACTTATTTACAGATCTGGTGATCAGAAGGCTGGTCTGTACCTTGCCCAAAGAATTAGTTTGACTATTCGAAGAGGTAACGCTCGCAGCCCTCTGGGCACCTTACCTGTTGGCAATGATCTAGGGAATATTTTTTAATTTAGTATAGTTTAGACATAGCTTAGATAAGTAGGTTTACTGTTATAACATAATGATGAATTATTATATCTGAAAAATTTTGCATTCATAATTCTATAAATACTGGAAAACACTCCCAATGAAAAATGCTTAAAAATCCGCTTTATCCCATTTCAGAGTATCACGGACAAAGTGGATTACTACGCATTTTACATTGGGAGTATCTAAATTAATGTTATTTAATAAACATACTAGACAGATAACTTTGAAATACGAAAATAAGTATTTTTGACCAGTATTTATTGAAAAATATGAAACAAACTTATTATATCTTGATAATCGATATTATTAAAAGCAAAATTTTATTATTTAAGTAGGTACTTACGCGTTGGCGACATTACCAAACACGAAGGGAACGTCATTCTCTCTTAAGGTGGATACACTAATCCCGGTCGTGTTGAGTTGCGAAAGATATTTAAATATATGTATAATATAAATAAGCAACATGTATCTAACAATAATAATAATGATAAAACACGAAACTTTAATGTGTTTCCACCTTTAACCGGTCCTCATTGTATTTATTTTAGCGCATTTACCACTATTCTGTGCGCTTACTAAGTACAAACAGGGATCTAGTGTTGTTGCGAAAGTCTATCGATAATGTCTTAACGCATAGCTTTAAGTCAGTTGAAGTATCGATATCTTTGATAATAGTTATTGATACTAAAGATAATCGGCTCCTTTATAATCCAATCTAAACATAACATTACATCATGCTACTTAAAAAGGTTGAATGTTTATTTAATTAACAATATCAAGATTAATATTGGAGACTGTAGACGTATTTATAATAATGCTTTTCTTTATCGAAACATTTCATATAACAGTTTAGCATGTGAGTCGGTGATCGTGGTTAGCACTAACATCATTACCATATGAACTCATAATAATGCCGATGGTTATAATACTCAACTCAACACGAGAAACGGAGCTAGTGTAATCTCTCAAATCATGCTAATTAAATAATTTCAATAAGCGGGGCGGAGCTGCGCATATTTTATGATATCAATGATAGCATGTTACCTAACGATTCCACGTCCGGTGTTATCGCACAAATGCTACCTATTTCACTTTAGCAAAAGGCTGATTTAAGAAACAGAAAAAGATACAGCGACAGTAAAATACCGTACTTTCGATGTAGTCCAACCGTTACATGCTAATTATTAGGCTCTAGTTACTTAAAGTATGTAGTAAAAGTTAAAGTATGCGCCGCTGCGTCCAGGGTGTCGTGTTGTGGAAATGTGTTAAAAACTGGGACACACGGCGTAGGGTAGGGTAGACGAGGTATAACCACAAATATTGTTGTTATGTCTGTAGTTATATCCAATATAGATATTCCTAGTACCTATAATATTATAAACTAGGAATATCTGACACATTTCAATACTGTTTTAAGCTGCTGTAAACGATGAATCGTACGGAATAGTTAGTAATAAGCAAATACAAACTATCAGTTGCAATCACGTATGTTTATTTAGTATCAATTCGCAATTTCACCTCTATTGCATCCGCGCAACTAACCAGAACTAAGCCTTTAAGCTTTACCGAGCTTCATAATTATACCGCGAATTTCTCTTTAAATATATACGAAATATTAATTTTGAATCTGCATCATATTGCAAAATTAATATCTACTCTTACTAGTGAATATATTGCTTAAATTTTCGTACTAAATTTAGTAAATGGAATATATTAGTCCGAAGTTATTTAAATAATATTGTTTTGCAATAAGCAAGGTATTAAAATATATGCAAGGGATTTTCAACATTTTAGTGTTCAAAAATTATTACTACTCATAATACAATTATTAATTTCAAATGGTCAATTATAATGAATCGTTTTGTATAAGCTCAATTTATGAGGTTTTATGATTATTTTTACTATAACCAGCTTCACTCATTATTATGTTTACAATGACAAATTATGATTGGTAATAATAATATAATAAGCGCTACACATGCACTACATAACGAGTATTATACGAACACCAAACATACAACATGTGCAATATGTGAAAATAATTACAAGAACCATAAAGAATTGCTGTTACCTGCGGCTTCAGCGGCATGGTCAAAGGGAAATATATGTATTTTCTTTAAGTTTAAATATAACCCCTAATGTTATTCTGAATTTATCATATACACCTTTGATAAAACATTCCTGAACCTAGTTAATCTTATAATGTCTTCTCTGTTAAAATAGCCGCCAATGATAAAGTATCACATGATAAAATAATTTAACAACAACCGCATAATGCTGTCAAACAAAGGTCTTATAAATACTGTAGGTATATATATTAACACTAAAGACTTAAAATGTATAGAAAGTCAACTACAAAATACACACAACGAAAGTACACAAAACAGCACATCGGATTACTACAAAATACCAAAAACCATAGACCGCCCGTTGCACAGATGGCCTTTAAAATATCCATTACTTTGAAGCGACATTACCGATACACATTTTCAAATTTCGAACATTCATTAGTGCTCAATGTCGTCTTTGAAGCATAACTAACGTTTTTGCAATTGGGTGTTTCAAATTGAAGGCCGCTGTCTAAAGGGTTTCCTTTTTTTTAAATAACATGACATGACAACTACAACAACTATACATAAAAAGACGACAATTATACACATACAAACATATCCCAATTTCACTAAATAAAACTCTACCTCAGCCATGCTGATATATGTATTTTTAAAAACTAATAGAACTTAACTATAAACATACATAAAAAAAGAAATAGTGAATGAAATTTCAACCGTGTGAACATTAATAGGTATTAAAACAAATTAGTTTGACGCTTATTAGCAGTTAATCTTTTAAAAAATACATCACAATTATAAACTAACAAGAAAAATCAGAGGGTTATTTGAAGAATACATCTCAAAAGCAAAAAATAATACAATAATTATTGTAATAGATAAAACATCGTAGTTAATTTAGTAAAATTTTATACTGTTAAAACATGTCAACGATAACTTAGACCATAAAATACCTACAATATTAACAAACCTATAAAAACACGTTATCGCTTCAATAAACTTAACAAAGTTTTTTGCAAATTAATTGACAAAGTAAGTAGTACATTTATATCCTATAAATAAGAAATCCTTCAATAGATTGACCCTATATACTATATAGACCCTATATACCTAATATACTTTTAATTTATTCAGTAGGTATAATCATATTATTATTTTTAACTTAGAAAATATTGCTTTATGAATACACATTAATATTAACTTTTAACATATGAATTTTTTTATAATTTATTTAATTGATTAATAAAAAACAACCAAAATCATTTTCTAAGAATTTCTTCACAAAATAAAGATTGTTGAGTTGAAATATTATTTTGTTCGTTAAATGGATAATTGTCAATATTATTAAAGATTATTTTAATTAAGTAATTTATAATCATCTAGGTTAGAATACCATAATAAAAAATCACACTATAAAATATCGAAATGCGTTAAATTCCTAATAACATTACAATATCTACTTTAAATATAATTAAATTCATTATAATATTGAACCTCTGAGCAAATACTTTATGCCAATTGTTAATATACAGTATAAATTGTGATATGTATGTCATTTTAATACTAACTCTTTACGGTTGAGACCGCTGAGACCACATTGCGTTTTTGCGCGGTTTAGAGATATATCTGAAAACACCAAACAACATAGATTGCAGCTTAAGTTTCCTGTCCGCTAATGAGTGCGCTTGGATAAAGTGATGTGTTACTTTTGCTGCGTGCAGTCATAACATATAGTCGCAGTGTGGTCTGAGCTCAGCCTTAAAGTTGATTGAAGCCGAATTCACATTACGTAATTCGTGTCATGTTGGATGAAACAACTTTCATGGAACTAATTTATATTATGAAACTATATTAGTTTCATAACGGCATGAAATGAACAGTATCTCTGAGCCACTGGCTCCATTATCATCGAAGCATTATTAGGCGTAAATGGTGTCGTGACACTTATATCACCAAAAATATGCTCGTGACACGAAACCAACCTAGTGTTGTAAAGCTAATGCATGCATTGTGAAACTGGACACTAATTACTAATATAATTAATTCAAAGAAACTAATTTCATGCAACGAATTTTGTAGCACGAATAACGAGGCGATTCGCGATGGGAGACGAGGCACGAGGCGGGACTTAAAATCATGATATTTAATCGATATTCAATATAACGTGAATTATTTCGTTGCCGATCTTACTCCTACTTGCATATTTTAATGCGAAAGAATAATTACTAAATATAATGAAGTTCTCGATACATCAAAAGTTGATTTTAGAGTATTGAATCTATATCAAAAACTGTATTCATGACACTTCACTTGACAATTAATACAATACCTCATTGCCGCAATTACTTTATAAGACTACCTAACTAACCAGCTTCCTAATGACTTACTGTTTATGAAATTTAAAAGTACTTTTTCTGTGAATTGAAGTTATTCAAGTGCATCTAATTGATGTAGATAATTTTCATAACATTTATATATTTAGTAATAGCACAATTTGATCGGGGAAATATTTTCGAACAAAATTTAAGCAGATTTTCTAAGAAAAGCAGACACTATGGTCTATAAAAGTACAGTACAGTACAGCACAGTTATGGTCTATAAAACCTGCAATTATATTTAGCTCACCCCACACGGATCCAGGATCTTATATGTTTTATGGCCTCATGTAAAATGAGTACCCGCTACCTAGGCGTGGCGTCACACGAGTTAAATATAATTTCTGTTTAAGAGTTATATTGACAGATGTTGTTCTATAGGTATGAATTAATAGAAAGGTTATATATCAGTCGAAAAAAATATAAAAAGGAAGAAAATAATGACGCTGATCTTGTTTAATATAAACAAGATAGTCTTATAGTTTTTAGAATTGCTTGTAATGCTTTCATCATTCAATATTGAAAATACACTGTTCCGATAAATTAAATTTGATTAATAAAACATTCAAAAACGATGAGTAGGTAAGCCAATCTGTTCGGGTGGTGTTTCATTCATTGCCATGTTGTCGTAAGAAAAATCTAATGTAGTATCTTCGGCCGGGTGTCGGTTACTCAGTGCTGTGCTGATCGTTTTCGGAGTAGTCGCTCCTTGACTCTTATCCGGCTGTGAGGTGCGATTGTCCAAGTCTCTCGGGTTCAGAGGCTGCGGGTTCGGTTTCGGCTCGGGATTCCTAATTTCCAGTTTCAATTCGGGCTTCGATTTAGGCATATCGGCATGGGGATTGTGATGCATTATATCCCCTGGATACGTCCTCACTCTATTCTGAAATTAAATAATCATGTGATATTGCTAATATAATATCAAAAGAGTCTATACCTAATCTCCATTGCTTTGATTTTAGTTAATATTTATGACTTAATCGCGATATTTCTTACCAAAAGCGAGACTAAAAAAGCTTTAGTTATCGCTTATACTTTTTGACTTTAAAATATTTTTTCCGAGATATCTTTTCGTTCTATTATCAATACTTCCTCATAACAATTCCAATCCGATGTAGAGATTTCTGGAACTACATTAAAAGCTCTAATGAATTCTGGAATAATTCTAATTTCGGAGCATAGATTAGAGACAAATCCCTGTTTTTAATGTCTAATAACGTTTATAGGTCTAAATTTATTGTTGAACTTGAAAACTAGTTAAGTCCTACCTTTGCTGGCTGTAGTTTCTGTTTTATATATCTCCAAGAGAAGCTTCCCCTACACCAGATGATGACGACCAACAACAAAACAGCTAGAGCTACGCTGCTTAAAATAAGCGCTGCCTGAGCTTGTCGCTGCACACCTTAAAAAAAAGTAATAGTTTAAAACACCAAGATTCATCAAGAAATAAATACGTTTATTACATATTACCACACACAACAATGTTGACTACAGAAAAACATATTTTTGAAATATTAGTATAAATTATAATAATATATCTTATCTATCTGCATAGGCAATGCAAAACTGTGATTAGAACAGGAATATCTATGTAAGGTAGTGGTTCCCAATCTCACACTAGCATATTTTAATGACACACTGTAAATAGTTTTTAAATTTACATATGTCAAACATTAAATGGCCGCAAGGCTTATAATTTCTACAATTTTTTTATAACACAAAAGTGCAAGCTTGCCTGTTTTGCACTTCAGCACTCGAATCGGTGCTCTGAGTCGATTAACCTCAATAATATTCCTATCTTACTTACATATTTAATAGTGCTAGTTAATGAGCAGGAGTGCGCACATATGTAATAAAAAAAAAACAAAATAAATATAAATAAGATAGGAATATTATTCATCAAAAGTAAAGAAACTCGATAAATAATATGAATTTGAAATGCTTTTCATGACAACCTCGTTTGAATGAAGATCTGCGAGATCTCTGGCGCCAATAACTAAAACTGCGTTCCTTAATTAAATTTAAATAATTTTAATCAAATTTTTTTGCTTTTTCCAAGAGTTAGGGTCAAGATTAGAGCATGCGCCCGCCTTTCCCCACTTCTGATATAAATTTAAAAAACATTCACCGTATGACAATAAAAAAGATTTGACGAATAAGTGAAAAAATAGTAAATCAATAAGAGTATATTTACAATGTTGATGTTTAATACGATTATGATTAAAAAGTGTTATCATCTTGTATGTTCTTTAAACGTACAATTATAGAACTAACATAGAATGGTCGACTATAGATAGGGCTCAGCAACACCTTTACGTAACAATACTAATTATATATACAATATTTAGTTTGTTTCATTTGAACACGATGATTGAGTCTAATAGTCAGAATTGATTTAAGGATTGTTATTCTTTTCGCCGTAAAGAAACAATTCTTGAAAGAGATTATAAGCTATTCAACAACGTAATACGATCCAAGGAGCAGAGCAATTTCGAGAAAACGCGCGGGAGTGTATTGAAGCACATAATAGGTACTTATTGAATTTTCTGAAAATAATTATTTTCCGAAAGGCAGAGCCTCTTAGCCAATTTAAATCATCATATTATTTTAATTATCTGCCTACTACAAGTATAACTATTTATATAGGTACTTTTTTTTATGGGATATCTAAATTATTTGCAAAATTAAAATATGTTGTAATGAGCAAATTCTTATCAAACCACACTACAACATGTCAAATTTCCGTAAATGATTATAAATTCTATCCGCATAGCAACAAAAAGAAAATTGACAGATTTGTATAATACACTGACATGTGTGTCTGCTGTTAACCCTTTAACATCGGGTGCACGTGGACATATTCAGTTGAAATTAAAATTATATAAGTTCAGGTTCAGGTCTACAGCCCCCTGAAACTGTGAAAAAACTTCTAAAATGACATAATAAAGGTACGGCCATTTACAAAGTAATAGACGCAATTATTTCTTCTATACTCTCAAGGGTATCAAAATTAATACGGTTCTTCTGTGGACTTAGAACTATAAAATTTGCAAGTAGCACCGTTTTACTGTGCAAGTTCAAGAAAACATCTAAAAACTTTCAGAAAATCTATCAGATAACAGAAACAGGCCAAAATTCGGCAATAAATTATGGACGAAACTTTTTGTTGTTACTTGACGTGTTGTTAACTGTACTAAGTCATCTAATGTGACATGAAGAAGATTCTTGTATCGTATCTATCTAAGATGCTAATATGTAATATTCTAACTGTATATCACATCGCATATGAGCTTTAGACGCATTCAGGTGTCAACTCTAGGGTAGGTACACGTATCAGTATAATATTACACTACTAAGGAGTTGTTTAAAAGCATAAATCAGTAACAGAAAAGCTTAAACATGCTATTATGTTTGATAGTCTAGACAAAAGGATTAAAATTAGTGATGCAATGAAAACGAATATTTTTATTCACAGAATATTATCAAATATTTAATATATTGCCACCATAATCTAGTAGATAGCTCATTGGTTAACGGCTTTGATCTGCGATATGGTTGTGAACCAACATTCGCAATGGCCGGTTGTACGATGGGAGATCAAAAATATTATCTCGGACTCCTCCGTGGTTCAGAACGCGCGTTAGGCGGATTCGAATTCTATCCATATGGGAGGCCCGAGCCTCAGTGGGGAAATAACAGGCTGCCAAGAAATACTCGGACTCGCGCCATGAGGATCCCGTACTAACATTAAATAAAAAGGAAATATAAGAATTTATACGCCCTAAAAAACTAAATAAAAAGTTTGTTTTGAAATATGACACATAAAGGCTCACATTAAAGTACTTAAACTTGAAGATTCAATTTTCAATTCACTTTTTAATGATTTAAATGTATATGCCATAGTTTTAAGATGTTTTCTTGAACTTGCACTATAAAACATTAATAAAGTATACGAAGAATGAATAGAGTGACCAACTAGACTCAACTAGCAGGTTTTGTTCCATACTGTCCATGGCAGCCAAACGAATTATTATAAGAAGTTGGAATTACCTATGTTATTTTCGGAACGCTTGTTACATTCAATTATAATAAATTATTGATTTCAACAACGCACATCACTAATAATTAAAGACATAAATTATAAAAAATAATATAATACAAAAACAGAGAATAAGTTGAATTGGCCAAAATAATATAGCTAATGTTCTCATGAAAAATAACTCAATAGCATTGATTCATGCTACTTTGTTGTGTAAACAAGCATTGGTAAATATATAAACATATAACTAGCTGGTTTCCCGTTACTTCACCCGCGTGAATTATAGTCTACATCACCCGCATCTGACGTAACATCCCATAAGTGAAAGAATTTTAAAATCGGTACAGTACTTTCGGAGTCTATTCAAAGCAAACAAACAAACAATCTAAGCCTGTGCTCCGGCAGTGCGGATGATAATGATCCACTACATACACCGGCTATTAATACGACACTTTTTCCGTATGATAGGTGTAATACAATACGTTCCACATAAAGTGGAGTAACATAATTTAAAATCACTTTGTTTTCGCAAAGCGCAGTGGCATAATAAAACAAAGCGGTCAACATCCAACAAATTTTCAGTAATCTAAGTAAGCTCATTGCATCGATATGTGAATGTATAAATAAATCTTTATTCGCATCAGCATAAATAATTATTACAATTACTAGTAGTTTCATTTTAAATTAAAAGTAAAGTATAGCAACGGAATCATTTGGACGAAAAACAATTTTAAAGTTAATGTCAAATATGACATTGTTATAAAAAAGTGATTTTGGATCGTCCAACAATTTTTAGCTACTACCCGTTCAGTAAAATGAAATGCAGTTTTTTATTATACCGAAGAAGCTTATGTTTCTCGTTTAGACCCAACAAAACGCGATGAAGGTAGGGCTTATGTGGAATTGAATCAAAACGGAGAGCGCAGTGTGCAGTGCTATTATGTAATAAAATGACATTCAAATACGATAAACTTCTTTAAATATGACAAATCAACAAAACGAACCTACTATGCTATTCTGCTATAAAACAGTCTCGAACTCAACATTGAATTCAACGCTGTCAAGGCAGAGAGTGTCAATGAAATAAAACCATTATTACATTATCAAGTAGGTTTCATTCGATTGAACCTCCACGCTCTAATAGCACTGCGTTTGTCGTCGAATTCGAGGCTATTTTTATAACAGTATAGCACTGAAAACTGAAAAAAGGGAAAAAGATTTTTTAATTTATTATAATAAATAATTTATTATAATAAATAATTTATTAAATAAACGGTTTCTTGCTAATAAGTCGCTTTGAAATTTAAAATTAAATTATTGAAAGTACTCACTGCCGTAATCTGATGGTGATGATGCATCGGACCGACGCTGGTATCTTAAGTCCAGTAAATATCCTGGAAAATAAATGGACACGTATTAAACAGACCGTAAATAAATATCATGACAAAATGGATAGCGACAAACTTTTTGAAAACTTATTTTAAAATTATATTTCTATTTTATTAAGTATGTTTATTATTTTATCGTAAATTTTTCAGGGAACTCTTTCATTTGTTACTACGATGCTCATATTGTGAGTACTCAAAAAATATAACGGAACGCTGGCAGCGCCATCTTGGATTGTTCACGTGCATTTTCATATGAACTAAAACTAATTACTTTAAAATTGAGTTGCACGATTTCCAAGTCAGAACAACCGAGGAAATAAATATTTCTATTGTCTCGATTTCCGGTGTTGTGGTGCTTCCATTGTTTCAAATTTTCATAATGCTTTAGTTTCCCTAGGTGGGCTCCGAACAATGTTGAGATGTATAATAATATTTTGTAAGTACTGAAATTCTGCTTATTATTTCAATGGCCTCTTAGTGATTTTATAATAAAATCGAGCATACTTTGTAAATTTATTGAATTCTTACTAAATTATATAATAGCTTTTCCTAGCACAGTTTAATGCCACTCGAATTTTCCGTTCAATTCATAGCTTTCAGAGCATTATTATGATATCAATTATTTAACTCTTAGAAGAATAAAATACAGCATACTATCATTGATAGTATTGTTCAGTTTAAAAATATATCCTATTTTAATTAAGAACAAAGCATTTACTTTGACATATTAATTTTGTCTAGTGACTCGCACGCCCGGCTTCAACTTGTCACCGCATTTGCGTTCCCAGGTTCTATACCCAGTCGGGTCAATATAGATTTTTTTTCCAATAGTCTCTATTCTAGGTGTCGTGTTAGTTTCGTTATTTCAGATTTCCATAATACAGTCACTTTAGCTCCTTAATTTACGATCTGAGCAATGTATATTATGTGTCGTTGGATAATATAAGTTAATATATTTAAGTAAATAAAAATTACTTTAATGAACTGACTTTTTCGAAAAATAATCTAAGACCATATATTATATATTCCATATTATATTCCATAAAAAATACATTTAGAAAAAAAAATCAAGATAAGTAGCTACACCTGACATGGAAACCAGAAGGATTCGTTGGAATGTGAACTAAGCAAACATTGAATGTTTGACTACAAAATACTGTACGGGTTTAAGTTTTATTTGCTATCTGCTTTTACCTGCACCTTTTATGAATGTTTTTAGTATTATGGTATATCTTGTAAATTTACATATAATTATTGTTATTTATATATTACAAATATTGATTTTAAAAAATTATGAAGCATAGAAATCTGAGGCTTAAGGAGTTTCTAAATTTGTTTACTATTTGTAATCTTCGGTAATACTGATCCCACCAATAAACAATTTCATGTAAAGTGGTGCCTAGCTGAGACCATATGAGTCGTAATATCAAAAAGTTATTACATCTCGTAGTGCCAAGATTTTAATTTTACAAGCCCTTATTACACAAACACTACACCTTATTTAAAACATATGGTTTGGCCGTCGTTCTTTTCTACAATAAAGCATAATAGAATACTAATAAACTATGGTATAACAGAAAAGTAATAAACGATGAATAAATTAATCTTATATATCCATTTGATAATAGTAGAACGGCGGAGCCATATGTTTTGAATAAAGTGTAGTGTTTATGAAGTAAAGAAGAATTAGAGCGTATAAGATTTGATGTTTCTGGTGTAATCCAAAAATAAGTTATGGGGTCCAAACATCCGAAGAACCGTTTCGAGAAAATGTAGCGGCAAAAATTGTTTTGCCGCTAAGGTACAGATGTCAATCAATATTTGAAGTTAAAGTTGTTTTATTTGAAAATTGTTGTGACATATGTACCTTAGCCTCCAAATTACCAATGTATCCACATTGGACACTGGCCAAGGTACATTAACAATAACTCACTACTACAAGGCTAACGTATAGAACACTAATGGGTTTGTTGTTAATTACAGGTGTTGATATGATCACCCACTTATCGTTACCATTAGCACAAAGAAAAAGTTACTACAGTAACTGCAAGTGTTATCTTTATTTGGCACAAGTATGTTCTTACGAGAACGCAATAGGGGCCAAGGTATTGTCCTTTTGTACCTAGATAAATTGCAATGACATAAATTAATCTATTTTAAAACAAATTACGTTGATTGTAATATTTACAAAGTGAATCAATCGTCTTTAATCTTTTACAGCATTGGAGTACACTACACACACTTACACTAAGACTGCACTTAGTATTAGACAAAATTTATATTATCAAACAGAGACTTAACAAAGGTTATCCTAGTGCGAGGTTCTACGGAAGTAATATTTACTCTTAGAAGGTGGTAGGTTTGTTAATTCTATGTGTAATATAAATTTGGACTAATACTAAAATTGCAATTTTAGCGTAAATTTACTCTGACGCTAAATCTTGTTTATTAATAGCGCTATTGTTGTTTAAGTGATTCTTTTTTTGTTAACCTGGAGCATGTAGTATTTTTGAATGCAGGTTAGCAATTTATAATACACCTGCGCTGCGCAATCATGCGAAAATATTCGATCCACAATCAACTGCCATTAATTTGTGTGTGTATGAGTGAACATGAGTACTCATGTTAGCTGTTCGAACCAACAGAGCATATCGCCAATGCTTCTATTATTAAATATACCAATTTAACTCGAAAAAATGTAGTGTAATCCACAGAACACAGGTGTAATCGTACATAACTTGAATCAAGCAAATGCGCCAAGTTATTCAATTGGTAATCTTAATTGTAGAAGCGCTAATATCTATACGAACTAAGGGCTTTACCTACACCACCAACCACGAAAAACTGTTCCATTTTTTAAATTTACTGCAAATATTATTTTAATTTAACTGAGAGCAGAGCAATGAGAGTATTCGCATAATGTAGAATGATTTTCTCAATTTTTATATTGATTGCCGGCCACACTATTAAATTACTAAAACTTTTAAACTGGTTTGATAACATGTGATTTTAATATTTTTAATTGGTTCACTGCTTTCGCCGATTCAATTGGTATGTATAACTTTTGACATAATCTTCAACAACTTCATATTTGATCAATTTTGCATTCAGACTGTTATACTGATGAATATATTTAATAAAAAAAAAGTCATATCTACCTTATGACGTTTATTTATAACTGCATCCAAAAATTGACATTAAAGTGCGTTCGGTAATGTTGAGATAATTTTTGAAAACTGTTAACTCTAAAAATCAATGTTGTGTAATATAGATATTTAATTAAAAAAATATATGACCTGATATGGCACCGCCATATAAGTTTTTGTTTATTTTACATGTCTATTTTTACTGTCATAAAAGACACTTTATATAAGAACTGGTGGGGGCTAATCATAAAGGTTTAGCACCAGATTAATCATTAGCACCATATGCAACCTTGATGCTGACCACGATTCATCAAATACAAAAGACGACTAGGTACCTTAGTTGGCCAAGAACGGAGCCAAGAAGATGTCTAGGAATGCCTCCGAGAATAGGAAGGACAGAGAGATCGCATTAACGCATCCGCCTTCTCTATCTATGTTAGCAGAGGTGGGTGGACCTAGGGCATTTTATGTGTCATGGGTTTGATATGGGGTGTATTCACGCTGGAGATTACCACCCACCCCTTTTGCTTTCCAGACGGCAAGGACAGTGCCTAACGCATTATCTTGACGAAAAAGATAGTTACGTCAATTAGAGGCTTCAGTTAACTGCAGCACATGTTGAATTGGTTCCTTTTGGCCACCATATCGGATGCACTCTATGATTGTCTATTGAAAAATTGTATGTGTGTGTGTTCAATAATAAAAAAACGGGCAACTACAGTAAGCGTCGGACATTCAGAAAGTCTCTCCTGATTCTTAATAGCATTATCGGACCCTAAAGGATCATCTCTAAAGGTATTCAGACCTTTCTAAACTTCCAAATAGCAGAATTATTCTAAGAAAACATTTTAATATATTTTCCATTACGCATTTATATCACTCGGAGTAATAAACTTTTAATATATAAAGTTTGACATGAATCGTTTAGAAAATCATTCCCATAAAATGGGACAAATTATTTTGTTAAATACTAGTAAATTTTGTTTAATAAAAAAAAGAAGCATGATAGAGAAGATTTCAATATATAAAATTAAAGGACTTATAAAATATCGCCGATAGAGATATTTTATGATTTAATTACTTTTGTTTTTAACTGTATTATATTAACATGAATTTGGCGACTCATGACACTGGCCCCCGGGGCAAATGCCCCCTCTTTATCTATTACAAATTGTCTATTAATCGTAATATACAATAACTTATTTCCAACTTGACTCAATCATGTACCTGTATAATACATAATTCTCCACATAGTATTGTAACGGATCGCTGACTTTTTACGGCCTTTTGGATTATGCATATATTTTGCGTGTTGTGATTTAATTTAAACTTCATAATAAAATAAATAAAAAAGTAATGAAATGATGAGGATAATTGTAAAAAAAATATTTTTTACAAGCAGGTTGTGAATTCGTTTGTTCCATTACTTACATGGCATTATTATTAGAAATGGTAAAGTGAAACTAACTATGATTTTTAGAAAGCTAACCTGTATTTTCGTGAAAAAAGCAGACAATATTATTTATGACTAGCTGTGTTTCCGCGTCTTCACAGCTATACGCCACTTCTTATGAAGTACGTTTGTACATAATCATAGAATTTTTAAAATCAGTCCAGTTAAACTAGGCTTCAAAACTGACTTTTGAAGTCTAGTTTAACAATGCAAGCAATCAAATATTTCCCTTTTAAAAATAGTATGGAATTCGAAAGTAGATAGACTTTCATAAATGTTAAATCACTTGGAATTTATTGACTTATTCAAATAAATCCTTTCATCAATATTACAAAAATAGATTGGTTTTAAAGTAAAATATTTTGGAATGTACAGCAATAACTTTTATTTTTCTACATTTTAAAAGAGGTTTTAACCCTTTTCTTTTAAGAAAGTAAAAAATATAATAGCTTGGTTCTTTCATCACATCACGAATTTAAAAGCGAGATGGTTAAAGAAACAGCGCACATAGTTATCGCTAAAATGGTTATCGAGAAACTGGACGCACAGGTTTCCTTTTGAAAAAAAAATACTTATGGTTATTATGTTTTGAAGTCGACCATGGCTCGATTGTACTAAGTGAATTGTTATTACTCGGAGATGCTATTAGTCATCGTTATTGACTTGAGGATTTCCACTTACAATATACACCTTTAGAAACGTAATACATATTTATCTCTCTACATATCGTTTAAGAAATGCTAAGATTATAGTTTTTGCAAATCTCTCTATATAAGTAACTTAAATATAGTAACAGCATCGCCAAGTTTCATTCATTTCATTTTATATGTAGAAATTAATTTATTTAAACTAATTAAATCACTTGATATTGGTAGAATTATGTGAAACACGCAAATAAGCCATAAATAAGAAGTTGAAGAACCTAAATATACATAATTTGTCAAAATCCATAAAAATAATAAAATAAAAAAAGAGTTAATAATTGTTGAATAAATAGTTGTGAATAATTGTGTCTTTGACATATATTTCTAGGACCTACATTACAATTGTCAAAGTATATGCAAATGGAAATATTAATTTGACCGACCATAACTTAACCATATATTCCAAACTTAAAGCCAATACACATATTATTCCAACCTCTTCAATATGAGTATCAAATGAAAGAGCTTAAATAGTAAAAACACAGTACAGTATGAAATAAATATAAATCTAAGATGGCGTACGAATCAAAATTGCAGATCTTAATATTATACCCAAGAAAAAACCGTTTAGCTTCAAAAATGTTATTCTAAACATACCCTGACATTCCTTAATGCAAAGCCCGGAGTCATAGTTGTGATGGGTCCGATTGCAAACAACATTGCAGGCGGCACATCTGTTAGTCTCTGGAGAGCAGTACTCGTCGAGCTGGCAGGTCAACTGGCCACACCTGACGCCATCAAACGTGAGCTCGGCAACCGCCACGCTCACTACAGCGAGCAGACACACCAAACGTGACATGTTTGACCTGTAAATAACAAAAAAGTTACATGTAGCATGGTTAAAGTGCTACAATCGCAGTAGAGATGCTTTCCTTACGAAGTACTTTCCTGTTATCATTGTCAACATAGACCTATTAAAGTTCACGGCAAGGAACATCGTCCATTGAAGCTTTCAGTAGTTGAAAAATATTAAACACACATTTTTTTTTGCGCAATCATTAAGTTACGACGATACATTGAGTTAAAATGTGCCATAACCACTGTCCCAAAAAACTGTGACATAGCGTGCTCCCACTTCACAAATTTAATACCAATAGCCATTAATAGAAAGGAAAATAGATACGTATTTTTTTTTTCTTCAATTTGCCAAGATTTTTTTTTTTTCACTACTTTAGTAAAAAAAATACGTATCTAATATTTTTCTATTATCTGACTGACGGAAAAAAGAATTTCTTTTATTAACCCAGGCATAATCCGTATTTACGTGGGGGAAACAGTAAGTCATAATAGGTTGGGGGAAAAATTTATTCGCATTTTATATGAAAATTTAAAACAATTTCCATTATAGTTTATTTACAATTAACTAAAATATCGGGTTGGCTAATAAGTAATAAGCGTTTTTATTTTTATTTTATAGAAACTTTGAGTAGGTTCGAAAACGTTTTATGGAGGGAGTGTTGTGATCATGAACACCAGTAATACGCCGAATCTTGTTACATTAATTTCATCGAAAAAATTAATTATATTTAAACCCATGCCCGATATTTTTTATAATATGAGTACCAATCTGGCCATTCCACTGCAGAAGCTGCACGTAACATATGCCAATGAGTAGCTCATGACGCAGTCTCCAAGGTAACAGCAAAACGGTGATTCCAACAGTTCCACAGTGGAGACTGTTCCTTTATAGATCAACCGAGATATGGGCGTCCAATAGGAACAAATATAAATATACTAAAGAAGTTAATTTAAGAAGATTCTAGACGCAGCACACGTGATTTGGCTGTAGAGCTTGGTTGCTCTCATGGAACGATTGAAAATCATTTGCATACATTAGGAAAGTCTTACAAATTTGGCGTTTGGGTACCCCACAGCTGACCATGGATCAACTTGCTTACCGTGCAGAGATATGTGCACATGTATTAATCACTAGCGTACAGTGGTAGATAGCGACAGTGATTACATTGCGAATGATTAGCTATTACTTTATAAATAAAAAATTAAGTTACGAGTAGCTTATTATTTACTAGCTTTCCGCCAGTGAATTCTTTTATTATACATTTCTTCCTTTTGAATCACCCTATCTAGAAAGAAAACCGCATCAAAATCCGTTGCGTAGTTTTAAAGATTTAAGCATATAGCCAGATACAAAAGGTATAGCTAGAAAGATTTTATGACAAGTTTATGCATACTATATGCGAAAAGACCAATTATAAAAAAAACGCCACAAATAACAGAATGATATTACTATTTTAAAGTTGTACTAAAACCAACCGTACTGCAACCGAGTATTAAAAAAAACTAACTTGTTTTCTGAATGGCATGTACTATTAGACTTTCCAAACAGGTCTACTCGTCCTATTGTAATAAGATTATTATCAAACAACCTTGTTTTTTGCTCAAATAACGATATTTACACGACAACGACTTATTAACGATGACTCATACAGCAACAAGATATATATATTATGTATATATGTTATGAAGTACAGGCATTTCTTATGACCAAGTTGAATAGGATAATTTACCCACCATTCGGGCCCATTGCGGATTGGTGGTTATTAACGTCTGAAGCCTGGAACAACGGCATAACTAGCCTTTGACCGGTCCTTACGAAAGAGAATGCGAAAATGCATAGCCAGCCATCAGATGATCAACCTGACTCGTAATCAGATCAGGTTTAATCAACATATTTGATGAAAATCACGGAATGGTTCCGGTTTGATCGTATAATGGCCCGATTAGACAAAATTTTAGAGACAGGAGAAATCGTGAAAATCCTATTAATATTATAAATGTGAAAGTTTCTTTGCTTGGATGTTTGTTGGTCAATCACGCCGAAACTATACTGAACGGATTTTGATGAAATTTGGTATACAGATAGGGTGTTAGCTGACTTAGATAATAGGACACTTTTTATCCCACTTAACATTTCCCTATGGTCTACGCGGGTGAAGCCGCTGGCGAAAGCTAGTATTAAAATAAACCATATGCCGAGCCCTTTTAAAGGACTATCATAAAACATCTGGAAAATAATGATTATCATAACACTCGTTTTAAAAGCGACCTTTAATTTACTGCGATTAACTAAATAAATACCGCGATCAACTTAATAAATACCCACACAAATACAAAACACAATAATATTTTAATGAAGTCTGATGGAGTCTAGTTTTTAAGTAGTTTCAAGATCCAAAAGCTTTCTCAGTACCCTCTTAGACTTCTTATAATATTACTTGATAATTTAAATTAATAGGCTTATGAGTTATAAAGAACAATAGACTACAAATAATTTATAAGTGAAAATATTAAAAAAAATTATCTCTCTCACTCTCCGAAAAAATTACGGGTATGTACTAATAGTTATAAATTATTAGGGATAATATTGGGAGTCTTTCATCCATGAAGTATGCTCATACGTTATTCGACCTTTTTCATTTTACACATTTCATTTTATTTAAATGTGATAACATTTACTTGTCCCAAATATGGTATTGTGGCCTTAAGCTTCTACATACACAGTAACTACCACACAAAACACAATCAATCTAAACACTTTCTCTACATAATAAATAGGGTGACTCATCGATCTCCACAACAACATTTGTCAAGACTTTACTCATAATATTAACACGTGTCTAAACTCAGAGAATTACCCAACATATTGGCACAACGCTATCGATAAACGCTAATTTACGTGAATACATAAGTTATTCAAGATTGTTAAAAGTTTTTCTAAGTACATAAAAATGGAGAAATAAATATTTTACCGTGAATTTATGATGAGAAAATAAATCGAGCTGAGAAACGTATGACAAATATAATGATATACTGAGTTAATTTTGAGTCGGAATATAATTAGATAAAATTGTATTATTATAAGTCGTTGTTGGTTCCGTGATTGAATTACGACATTGCAGTCGCAAAACAGATTGATTGCGCTTATTTAGACAAGAGCATCATAGGTGTAATACTTTCTAAGTTATATTTATTTAAGCTTCTTCTAAAGTACAATCTGAAATGATATTAATATTGCCGTTTTCGTTTAAACTACATAAGTTGATAGCTCACTGAATTGTACAAATAATTTGTTTTTTGATTCTCTATTTAATTTGTAATGATAATAGAATTACTTTGTTTTAACCTATCAACGGGATTTCACTTAGTTATTATCATTAAAATGTTTATATTAGTTTCAACGTATTGTACTGGTGTATATTATGCAATATATAACATAACTTACCAAAAAATCAATTGTTCCATTTTGAAACACAATCACATTATTAAGATTATTGATTACAGATTAAATTTCAAGGCGGAAATATCATTTTAAACGCATAAAAAGCAGTCATATTTATAAGAAGCATTTAAAGTATGTTCAAGTCAAGTTTTCGAATCGGTTACCTAGCAACCGACCTCGTAAGCTTTTTCAGGATGATTCACCTTTGCGTACAACTTACAGGTATGTATTTAGATCGTTTTAATTAAATAATCTCCAAAATCTTAAAAGATGATTATCAATTCAGACTGTTATTTCCGTAAAATTACCAGGTTCATTAAAGTTACCTATTAAATAAGACTAGATATATATAAGTATAGCAAAACAATACGATAGTTATAGCATAAAATGAACCTTAATTTATACTTTTATCATAAAGAGGAAAGATTTCATTGTTTGTTTGCATTAAATGGGTTCCGAAACTACTGATTTTAAAAATTCTTTGTCCTGTGAGTAGAAAATTCTTTGGCTATAAATTTACGACGGTGAAGTTACGGATAAATAGCAAGTTTTTTTTTATATTTTCGCCTACAGTGATAACCCTTAATACTTGCTCATATTATGACGAGTGACGATAATCGTTTTGATTCGAAGAACACGTACCTAATTAATCAAAATTTGAATTTTAACAATTCAAAAAAACTTATTGTAAATATCAATCTTTTTAATTTAAATTTTCATTTATTTGTTGAACTCAAATTAGTTAATTATAATGTATTTTGATAAGTTCTTGAATTTAATAAATAATTTTGCGGCAGCATCCTTTCAAATAAAATTCAAAGGTGATACTTATTTTAAACTTATCATGGATATTTTTTCAACCATTTAATACTTAGTGCCTTATGTTTTGTTTATTTAGAAAACAATTCGATATAACATCCTGAGAAAATGAGGTCGTGTTTTCAAACAATTTCACAATGACATCGTGTTATTTATACGGATAAGTAGCAATTCAATGCGCAATGTGTGGATATGAAAAGAACAATTTACAGATTCGACGTTTATTATTCTATCGATTCAAAGTTCGAATTCCGTCGGCGCGAATCTGATCAAATGTCAAAGTGACAGATAGGGATGTTCCCTGATGGAATAGAAAAAAATGGTGATGTTATATAGGTACTAATAGTAGCTTAAATTACGAGAAGAAATTCATAAACTTGAATTTTCGAAATAACTTGGTATGATTTTCTTTTATATCATTATAATTTTTCTCACTTCAATAACGTTGGGAACAATTAGTATCTTAGGTCTGGGTTTTGGTTACTTGATCATAACAATATATGTGATATTATCTAATATTTAAGTATTTATTGAAAATAAAGGACATTCTGACTTTATATGTTATTAACAAACGTGACAAGAACAGGTTTTGATGATCTAATGCTCGATTTGATCACCTTGAGTGGGAGGTTCACACGTACTGAGTGCGTTTTGCCGCCATAACCTACACTACCTTGAGATTATTCGTCTTCAATGAAGACACGTACAGGCAGACACATGAAGGTATTCTAGGAATTTGATGGCATA